GGCTGTACTCGTAATTCAATCCAAATTCAAAAGTAAAAAAATGAAGGGAAAATTTCATAACTAAGAGGTTAAGTTTCACAAATTTCAAATTTAAGAGATCCATGTTTAAAATTTCAAATCTTAGACTTTTTAAAAAATTTTAAATTAATTAATTAACATATATTTTATTAATTAAATATATTAAGGTCACAATTCCATATAATTTGATCACAAATTCCATATAATTGGTCACATATAATTAATTGATCCCAAATCACGATTTTTATATGTCACAAGTTATTTCACGGTCACAATTCAAAAATTTTATAGATCACAATTTGTTCATCGGTCACAAATCAAAAATTTATACATCACGGTTTATTTATCGGTCACAAATCTATCAAATTAATAAGTCACGTATTATTCATTGGTCACAAATCACAATTTTATTTGTCACAAATTATTTTACGATCACAATTCAAAAATTTTATAGGTCACAATTTGTTCATCGATCACAAATAAAAAATTTATACATCACAATTATTTATCGATCACAAATCACAAGTATTATAAGTAACAACTTATTAGACAGTCACAAATTAACAATTTTTTATATCACACATTATTTATTGATCACAAATTATCAAATTTTTTTGGTCACATTTTAATAGTTAATCACAATAAACTAAATAATTGGTCACGTACACCAAAACACCCCACCCTCGATCCCGATCCACCACCAATACTTGGTCACAAATCAACCAATTGGTCATAGACACTATCCCACCGCCAACACTACCACAACAGCACCACAACACCACCACCAATAAAGCCACTGCCACTAGATCCAATACACTCCCAACAAAAATCATCACAACCAACATTGCCATTGCCATCGCCACCCCCATTTTTGCAACACCACCATCACCACACAGCACCCAATAACACCGCACACACCATCGTCACCACCACACCACACATAGCACCCACTACACACCCCTGCACCAAACCCCAATCACTGGACATAGCACTGCACCCAACCACAACACACCACCACCGCATCCAAACCAATCACCGCACACAACACCCCACCCAACCACATCGCACCCAACCATCGTGATAGCTCCACCACTAGACATAGCACAGTACCTAACCACCGCACACCGCATCCAACCACTGCATCAA